CCTATGGAAACTAAATCACAAAGAAATAGAAAAATCTGAATAGACCTTTAACTACTAAGAAGACTGGATCAGTATAAAATATATAGAAAAAAAGGATATTTTGTCTTTTCTTATACATTCAATACAACAGAGAATACTTCACCTCTAGTCAGTAAGATGTGTGCGAATTTCTCTCTACGAATGAAGCAAACAATCAATTCAGCAACTGACACCAGCTGGCTGTCCTATAATTCAACTCAATTTGCAACTATCTAACTGGTAATAGTGTCAGGTCCCACAGGCTGAGGGCTCAGTTCCACATGGGTGCTCCCCACTTCAGATGCCAGTCAGTTGCAACCACAAGTTATGATCTGTGCTTCTGATCGACCAGCTATTAATCAGGGTTCCCACAACTCCCAGGTTTGAGTAATTTGCTAGAATGGCTTGCAGAACTCAGAGAAACACTTATTGATATGTACCCATTTATTATTTTAAAATATTACAAAGGATATGGGTGAATGGCCAGATGGAAAAGGTACAGAGGGCAAGGTGTATGGGAAAAGGCACAGAACTTCCATACCCTCCTGAGGTGCACCAACCTCAGGAACCTCCATATGTTCGGCTATCCAGAAGCTCTCCAAACCCTGTCCTTTGGGGTTTTTGCAGAGGCTTTATTATGTAGACATGGTTGATTACATCAACGGCCATTGGTGATCAAATTAATCTTCAGCCCCTCCCCTCTCCCAAGATGGGGTGTGTGTGAGAGAAAGTCCCGATCCTCTACCTTTTTGGTCCAGTCACATTTCTCCATGTCTGTAGATCACAGATCACATCTTTTTTGCCTAATCACAATTCTACATGGCTGCCCATTCTTCATCAAACTTAAGCCTAAAATTAGTTTTCCCTTGGTCTCTGGGTCTTCATTTCTGAAGACTCCTGTATCATGTAAAACTTAGATTAAACAAATTTGTTATGCTTTTGTCTAGTTACCTTTCTTTTGTTATAGGAGTCTTGGTCATAACCTTTACAATGAATGAGGAAAGCTATCACATCTGTCCATCCCTACACACCCATTAGGGTGGCTACAATTAGAAAAACAGAAAATAAAAAGTGTTGGTGAGGATGTATAGTTGAAACTCTTTGCACTGTTGGTGGGAATGCAAAATGGTGCAGCCACTGTGAAAAACACTATGGCATTTCCACAAAAATAAAAATAGAACTGCCATATGATCTGGCAATTCCAATTTTTGGTTATAGCTAAAACATAGAAGCAATCCAAGTGCCCATCAAAGTGTTAAAGTATGCTGTTGGATGAGAGATGAAATGAATTACTTGCAGCTGAAGAACTCTGTGTTAAAACAGAGCAAGGTGACCATAGCTGGGTAAAGGAATAGCCATGTACTGTGTATTCTCAGAAAGAGGCTGTAAAGGTTTCACAAGACCTTCCTTTTTTGCAATCAAGCCAAACCAGTTCCTGTTATTGGAACTGAGATAGACTGCAGCTGGAAATTTTCAAACTGACCACAAACAGATCACCTGAGGCCAGCCAATAAAGAGATACTTGCGACGTCTTGCTTAAAGTTTATCCAGTCCGAACGTGGCACTGGATTTGGACCCCTACCCTCATCCTGTGGTTTTTGCCTTTATAGTCTGAGACTCTCTGACCCCTCCTTGAGGCACACTTTCATTCTGCACTAAAGACTACATCGTCCCAATCTCCATATTGCTTTTAGAAAATAAAGCTCTCCTTTGTTTCCACAGATCTCATGGGTCTTTTGTTAACAGAAGGATAAATGGATAGTCAAGATGTGGCATATGGGGAGTTAATTGTTTAATGGGTACAGTTTCAGTTTTACAAGATGAAAAGAGTTCTAAAGATAGATGCTGGTAATGTATTGCACAATAATTATGAATATTTAATATCACTGAACTGTATACTTAAAAATTGTTGATGATAAATTTTATGTTGTATTTTACCACAATAAAAAAGGAAAAGAGGAAAAATAATTTTTAATTACTTAAACCTGTCTAGTTGTTTCCAAAAATTAAAAACATAGAGTGACCACTCTTAAAACCTCAAATATCTAGAAAGGTTAGAGTGCTATGGATTTGAACAGTTTCAAGTAAACCTCTTCTAAAATATGTATGACAGTTTCCATAAACACATGTACATGGTTGACAGGAAAAAACAAGATCTGCATCTTTTGGTAGTTTTTTGTTTTTGGTAAGTTCTATCTTCCCTATTGCTATTTTTCAGTTTTTTAATTTAAAATTTAAAAAAACATTTCAATCGTTTTAGGTATACAAGTGGTTTTTGATTACATGGATGAATTGTATAGCGCTGAAGTTTGGGATTTTAGTGCACCTGTCACCCAAGGAATGTACATTGTACCCAACAGATAACTTTTCATCACTTACCCCCCTTCTTCTCTGCACTCTCTGAGTCTCCAATGTCCATTACATCATTCTGTATGCCTTTGCTTACCTGTAGCTTGGGTCCAACTTATAAGTAAGAACATGTGATATCTGGTTTTCAATTCCTGAGTTACTTCACTTAGAATAATGGCCTCCAGTTCCATTCAAGTTGCTGCAAAAGACAATGTTTCATTCTTTTTTAAAGCTGAGTAGAAACCCATGGAGTGTGTTTGTGTGCATATATACATACATATATACACATTATATTATATATATTATATATATATATATATACACACACACACACAGCACAGATATAAGTGTGTGTGTGTATACGTAGTATATCACATTTCTCTATCCATTCATTGGTTGGCATGTAAGTTGAAGAAACTGCACCTTTTAAGACTGTCCTCTCTTACTGAGCTGGATCATTAAGCAATCTTGCAACACGCTGTCGTCAGCTAAAGCTCAGATTTCTGTTGGCAACCACATTTCAGCTTTGATACAGTCTTTAGAAGAATTCCTGAAATTAGTTTTCAAAACTATAAATTTGTAGGCTATTAGGCTGTTTAACTACTGCTTCTTTTTATCCAGTGATTTAGCAACAGGTAATGTAACAACACGGCAGGAAATTCTCACTATTCTGAGGTTTTATATTAGAGAAAAAATATGATCTTTTGAAATCGAAACAATCTTTTCCAACTTAATCATGTTAAATGAAAATCAAATTAGCATACTAAGGTTAAATTCAATTGTATATGAGGCAACTGTAATATTGAGGGACTGTGTAAAGGAAAAAAAACTTCTCTTCCTGGGTCCACCAGGGGCGTCGTTTCAAAGGCAGGAGTTTCCCAGCACCCAGCCACCATCTACACCCCTATCCGGGAACTAGAGTTCTTTGTCTGGCCTTCCCCTTCAAGGGCTAGGTAAAGGAATTCAGGTGGCCTTCTTTTTTTTTTTTTTTTTTTTGAGATGCTCGCTCTGTTGCCCAGGCTGGAGTGCAGTGGTGTGATCTCAGCTCACTGCAGCCTCTGCCTCCCAGGTTCAAGCGATTCTCTTAACCTCAGCCTCCTGAGTAGCTGGGATTACAGGCGCACACCACCGCGCCAAGCTAATTTTTGTATTTTTGGTAGAGACGGGGTTTCACCATGTTGGTCAGGCTGGTCTCGAACTCCCGACCTCATGATTTGCCCAGGGGGGCTTCTTTGTCCAAAAAGCCCAGGAAAGCTCTGGGCAGAGGGGGCTCTGTTGTGGACCAAGCAGCCACTCAGGTATCAGAGTCAAAGATCAATCACTCCAGAAGAAGACTGAAATAACTCCTCTCATTGGACAAGAACATGAATGAGGAGGAAATAACTCCAGGGTTAAAACTCCGCTGCTCCTATACAGATATCCCCTCCGAATTCCCCTCCCACAATGGCTTGGGAGCTCTTTCTCTCACTCTCTCTTTCTCTATCTCTCTGCCTAATAAATCGCTTTTCTGCAAAACTCTTTGCGCCCACGATATTTATTCAAATGGTAAGCTCACTGCACCTCTGGGGCCCCTTTCCTCATTCTTCAGGGTAAGAGAGGCCAAGGACCTTGGAACTGGGAGCCTCTTCGGGACGCCCCATTCCCTCCCGTTACAATATCATCAAATTAATATAATTTAATTAAAACATATTTTATAAAACACCCTGAAAAGTCAATTACTATTTACTTAAATATTAAATTATTTAAATTATTAACATTAATTAATGGTGGATTTAAGTGATTTAAAAGAAAACAGGTATTACAACTCACCTTTGGATTCATATGATCAAAACCCAAGTCCAGGTTCAGTTTACAAAATCCGAGTCCAACAAAAAATTGCACCCAAGGGGATTCGGGTGATTGAGATGTTTCATGAGCACACACAAAACACGTGATAACACGTCTTTGTCTCCACTTAAGATTAATGGAATTTTCTTCTTTGACCACAGTGTTTCACACAAGGTAAGCTTTTTATCTGATCTGACCAGATCTTTTTAGTTCCCAGCTTTAGTTTGTATTGCCTATTTGTTTAAGGCAAGTCACAGACATTCATTTTACAGCCAGCAGTTCAAAGGTGCCCCTTGGAAAAGCTTCCTAATCTCTTTCTCTATTTTCTGGGCCTTGGTTTGTTTTCTTGCTCCTTTTAGGTAAGGGCTTCCCAGCATTTAAGATTTTATCTTTTTTGGGTTTCACATTAATAAAGGTTTAATGATGATCTGTTTGCCTCAGCCTGAAGGCTTAGCAAAATTGAAACAAAGGGAAAGCGATTTTTATCTTACTTAATGGTTTTTGCTCGACCAAAAATTATCCCTTCAGAAATTTTGCTTCTACAAAAGTATTGCTTCAGATGGTGCTGAAAGGAGCACCTTCGTGTCTCCTTATCTGAAGAAGACCTCCTAAGAAAAGGCAAATCATGACAAGAATCTGATCGAGCTTTTTAATTTTTATTTTTTCCTCTTTTTGGTAGTTCTGGCTGGTGGAGGGAAGCCCCCATTTTTCTTTATAGGGTAGGAAAAACTTTCCTCTAGTCTTTGGTTCTTATGGTAATTAAGGAATAGAGCTGCTTCTGATTTCTAGTCCATTCTCTTTCACTCTCTTGCTTGTCTAAAAAAACTTCTGATTTCACATCTGCCAACTCTTTGTCATTAAAACTTCAGCTAAAAGCCCTTTCTTTCAAAAGGCTTTACTTTCTTAGAGAGGCCTAGCTGAAATTCTTTCCACTCTTTCGTATTAATTAAAAGCACCTTTCCTCTAGGCAGTTCCACTTTAAAAATAATATTATAAAAGTAGATAAAAAGAAATACAGTGAAAGTAGAAACCAAGGGGAGGGAAATGAAAAGTGGGAGAAGTGGTTACTTGTTTTGGAATCTGTAACTGTAAGCTCATGGTGGGTGGATACTCATACATTAAATAACTAGTTTGGCTTTTATTTTTAAGTTTACTTCTCAAATCTTTATTCACACTCCTTTCTTCTAAAACCGACAGATGTACAGAAGGGAACATCACACAGTAAAACGAACCAGAATGCATCCATCTGGCATGCCTTTCAGGAATCCAGCCCACCAACATTTGCTGTGGGTTTCATGACTCAACCCCTTAAGAAGCCGCACAAGGAAGAATTTCCTCATTTTGCAGAACTGCCAAATCTCATTCACTGGAGCAAAGGCTCCTCATTCGGGGCTCATTTTTAGCCAGTTGTTTATCTGTTTATGTATTTTACAAATCTCCCTCAGCGGATGGAGTTTGTCATGCATTTCTAAACAGTGAGTAAACATATTCCTCCACCCCCTCTCTGCAGGACACACCTCAGCATTTTGGCCACTGGGCCTAGCTGAATTTCTCTTTCCTTCCTTCCTCCCCTCTTCCCACAGAGCCTAGTTTTATCCTTCCTTCCTTGGTGTTATCTCTCCTTCTCTTCCTTCCTCCCTCCTTTTCAGCCCCATCTCGCAGCCTTGTTTGTTCCTTGGAGGCTTTTATTCTCCCCTGTTTCTCTCTTCTTTCCTCCTTCCCTTCTTCCTTCTCTCACTTCAGCTCCTTCTCTTAGCCTCATAAATTCCTTCCAGCCTCTACGTTCTTCTCTTCCATTGGTAATTTGTCTAATTTACCCCACTTGAAAAAAGAAAAACAAAACTTGCTTCACGTTTGTATTGTCTTCCCTTCAAAACTGTTCATCTCTTATCTTCTCCCTTCTCTTTTAAAACAATACACGTTTAGCGAGTGGTAGGCGCGGGGAGGCTGCCAAGGTCTCTCGCAGTCTCTGTCTCCAGGGATGTTTATTATTCTGTGTCATGGATGAAACACAAAAAGCACAGAATTCAAGTAACTTGCGTAAGTCATGAAGCTACACCCAAGAATTTGACTGCAAGCAATGCACTTTAAAATTGCTTTTAAAAATTTTATTAGATATAAAGATTAGGTATAAAATATATGCAAATTACCAAGAAACATCTTTTTTGGTGGGGTACAATGGGGCAAGTTTCTAGTTTTGCCCATTAAAAAAAAAAAATCCTTCCCAATTTTTGAGGCTTCTGCCACTGAACACGGCTGCTCGCGGCCCGTCTTCCCGCCGGGCTCGGCAAACGCGTCTTTGATCGTGACTCAGCCCGGCCCGTTCCGTGCCAAGCTGACGCTCGCGGCGGGGGCGCCCGGGCCGCCGCTCGGGGGCGAGGGTTCGCGCCGCGGTTCGCGCCCGCTTCTCTCGCTTTACGGCTGCTGAAAACCCGGCCCGGCCCGGCAGCCGTACCGCAGACCAGCCCGCGCCCGCGCCGCTCAGGTAATCGGAGTCCTTCTCTTTTCAAAGTTTTGCCACAGCGAGCTCCGCGCTCTGAGGCGGCGCGGCCCGGGCCGAGTGTCTCCTTGCTCCTCCCTCCCACCCAGGCCGGCGCGACTGCGCCGTGGGCCGCACCCCTGCGCGGGGCCCGGGCGGCGACCCGGCGTGAAGTGCCCGAGCCGAGGGGCGCCCGGGAGGCGGCGGGGTCACGGCGAGTCCGCGGGGTGGCGCGCGGTGCCCCTGCTTCCGCCAGTCCCGGGCCCGCGCGGGCCTGAGGAGCCCCCGCCCGCCTCCCGAAGCCGCTCCCCAGTGCCCGCTTCTGACACGTTCACACACGTAGGCATGGCACGCCCCCGGCCGGGCAGCCCGACGCCACGCGGGCGGAGCGCAGGTCGAGAGCGGCGGCGCGCACCCGGGCGCTAGGGACGGCGCGCCACGCAGGGCCGCCCGCGCGTGTGCACGTCGCTCCACAGGACGCGCGGGTGGCGCTTTCAAGGAAGCGGATGAGAAGCCGCGCTGCCGGCTCTGCCTGGCGCCTGGCTGGCCCCCGCGTGTGCCCTGCAGCTTCCTGGCTTCGTAGCTCGCCCTCCGTGTGTTCCCCCACATTCGTCTCTCTCTTTTTTCCCTTCATTTTTTCTTCGTATTACCTCTCTTGGAGCCCTGTGCTCTTTTCTCCCTCGCTCTTAGAACAGCAATGGAATAACATGCAGTGCCCTTGACATTTCTTTATTATGGTCCTCGAGCGGTCTTTGCGTACTAGGGCTTGCCTCCTCAGGAGGGCAATGGATTCGTTAACTGCAGATTAAGTTGCTGGACTCAAAGTTCTGCTGCAGTTACCCCTGCAGAACAGAGAAGGTAGATTTTTTTTTTTTTTTAAACTACCTGAGAACCTTCTGATAATGGTGTTGCTTCTGTTGAAGGGATACATCTTGACAAACATTAACAGTTATGTCATGAGATCCTGTAGTATTCCCGGCAATGAGTTCAATTTGATAATGTTTCTTCAGATGTCATCTCTGAGCTAGATGCTGTGTTAACTGGTGGCAGGTTAAGAAGAAGCGATGCAGTTCCTGTCCTCAGGAGAAGGGCCATGGTGAGCACTACAGAGTGCTCTGGAGAATGGGGGAGGAAACACTTACAAGGAAGAGTTGGATTTTAAACTGGATTTTTGGTATTTAAGTAGGATTTTCACCATTTCTTCCCACCTCGCCCCCGAACAATTCTTAATGGAAAGGGGAATTATTTCAACAATAGTTTCACCTTTAACTTTTTTGAGATATTTTTTCCTTTACAATCGGCAGTAATGTCTGATCTCAAGACCTAACGGGAAGTTTAAAAGTAACTCCTCTTGATAAGGATGACATGCATTCCCAGTACCATACAAAGAATATTAAAGACTTTTAATGTAGGACGATCATCAAGAATAAAATGTAATTTATTAATTGCTTACATAAAGCATTCTTTATGTAGAGCACTCAGTACTCATTAGTCAACAATTGTTTATTGATTGCTTACTGTGTGCCAAGCAGTGTTCTTGACACTGTTATAAAGCAAAGAAGAAACCTCTGCCTTCTTGGGATATCCATTCTAGTGAAGGGAGACAATATGTATAGTACATAAGAAAGATATAAGGTGAAACCATAGTAAGTGCTATGGACTTATTACATAAAGCAAGAAAAAGAGTATGTGTGTTTAGTGATTTAGTGGAAGTTCCCTGGAGGAGGTGACATTTCAGTAGACTTGAAGCAGTTGAGGGAGTGAGCCATATGATATTTGGGACAAGAGCTTTCCAGTCACAGGGAAATAGCAAGTGCAGAGGCCGGGCATGTTGCTGTGTTCAAGGATCAGCAAAGAAGCTTGTGTAGCTGGAGTGGAATAGACGATAGAGGAGAAGTAGGATATGGGATTTTAAATGTCATAGGAGCCACATGGTCTGGTAAGCTATTGTAATGATAACCTTTACTTGAAGCCATGTGGAGGCCATTGGAGTCTTTTGACCAGAGGAATGACATGATCTAACACATGTATTTGACACCATTACTCTGCCTACTGTGTTCAGAACAGACTGAAGAAAGCAAGGTTAGAGGCAGAGATAGCAGTTAGGCTATTATTCATGTGACAGACTGTAGTGGATTAGACCAGGATAATGGCAGTGGAGGAAGTGAATGGTTCAGATTCTGTATATATTTTGAGGGTGTGTTCCTCAGGGTTTGCTGAGAGATAGAATATGGAATGTGAGAGCAAAAGAAATTAAGGAGAATAATTGGCTAAGCAACTATAGTTTCTGTTAGCTGAGATTGGGAAGAACAGGAAGAAGATGTGGTAATTGGGATTAAGAATTTGGATTTGGATATGTTAGGTGTTAGATGCGTTTGAGATATTAAAATGGAAATGTCAAGTAGACAGCTGGAAGACCAAGCTAATGGCATACACTTAGGACTCTTCACCATATAGCTGGTTTTAAGCAAATAGATTGACTGAATTCATCAGAAGTGTGTGAGTTTAGAACATTGAAGATGACCAAGCACCAGAATTTATGTCATAAAGTCTGGCACATAATGGTGTGCATCAGCATTATGAGATGAGGAGAAACCAGAAAAGGACTCAGAAAAAGAGCCGTATTCCAGGTAAAAGGGAAAGCAGGAGAGTAGAAATCCTAGAAGTGTTTCAAGAAGCAGAGGGCTGGTCACCTGTTTTAAAGATGAGGATTGAAAATTAAGCGAAGGAAATCATTGATGACCATGTGTTGGCAGTTTTCATGGAGTAGATAGGAACAAAAGCTTGTTTGTCTTGTGTTTGACAGAGTAGAAGGAGAGACATTGAAGAGGGTGATGGTATTCATCACTTGAACATTCTTGTTGAAAAGGGAGGGAGGAAATGGAGCATTAGTTGTAGGACCAGATGATGTAAAGATAGTTTTTAAAGTGTACAAAACAATGGAATGTTGTGATGCTGATGACAAAGAGCCAGTAGAGAGGAAGAAATTGATGCTGGAGACAGAGGGGAGTAGGGTTTGTGAGGAGGTGAGAAAGGACACACGAATACAACAAGAGAGGTTATCTGTTGCTATCTTATGAGCTATTTACCTAGAAGTACAGCTAGTGCTCGACTTACGACCACGATTGGGACCGGCAGACTGGTCGTAACACGATTTGGTCGTAAGTTGAGTACACTATATGTACAGTTGAAATGGTGCACGCGGAGATGGTAGTGCTGCTGGAAGCTGGTCCGCACTGTCGTACGCCCAACTGGGCAATGTTTGCGCTGCCAGACGCGGAGCAGTCGTGGCTAGTGATTGTGGTTGTAAAGTCGAATGGTCGTAAGTTGCATAGGTCCTAAGTTGATCAATACCTGTAATGAAAGTATTGGGAAAGGGAAAAGTGTGTGGGCACAGATGGAGGTGGGGAATGTGGATGTTCTGTTTGGATTCCTTCTCGTTTCTCATTGTGTGTGACAGCAAGTTGTGGTACATGAGAAGTTTGTAGGAATCATTACCATTTTTCCCATTTGGTCAGGAATAGTTGATGAAAGAATGGTTTGAGATTCTGAGAATTGCTTGAAGCAGAATACTTTGTGCATTGTTGAGGAAAGAAAGAGGGGATTTCTACCTTGAGCTTTGCTTAGGAGAAGATTTAAAGAAAAAGTTGAGATTGCAAGATAAGTGTAGGGGAAAAGAAGGAAATAAGCTAAATCATATGATGAAACCTGAGAAGGGCTCTGATGAGGAAGCTGGCAACATTGAATCTCACCTCCCTTGCAGCAGATAATTACAGTAAAGTTCTCAGAATATTACTATTATCAAACAAATCCTTTTTGTGTAAGAACCAAGTGTGATCAAATGGAGAACAGTATTGTCACTAGTGGCCAATCTAATTATAGAAAGGTGGTATTATATCTGGGAAGCGATGTTAGCTAGGATTAGATTTCAGATTGGATTTTTAAAATGTGAAAAATGATGATTGGCAACAAATATCATTTGAAAATGATGTGAAAACGACTGGATTGGCAACAGATAGTTTGCAGATATATGGTAGGATTTTGACAACATTACTCATAGATATTGAGCAATTTGACAAGATGGGGAGAATTGTTAGAATTGGAAAAGGAACCTTGAGTTTTTTTTTTTTTAATTAGTGTTTAAGGACCATTTGTTTCTTGAATTCTTACTATAAAACAGGGTTCTGCATAAAGTCATGGCAGGGGATGGTGATAACCACTATGTAAATGACATGATCTCTCCCCTCAATTAAATATTGCAATACATTTGATAAACGCCTTATGAAGATACTGAATGCTTTTAGATTGTTAGGTTTCCAAACATTTTTATTTTATTATGGAAATTATCAGATATGCAATAGTAGAATAGCATAATGAACTCCAGTCTACTCAGGAGTACGTCTTGTTAGTATATCTCATGATTAGTTCAAAAGATTTGGAGTTGGCTTAGGGGCCTGGAATTGTAGTCCCAGTTACGTCTCCAGATAGTTTTGTGCTCATGTCTTAAGTGGCCTTCAGTTTTTTACTGAAAAATGAGGAGATCATTCTACAGTTCAAACATACTATGGTTGTATACTTTTTTACATGGTACAGTCAAAGAAACGGATGACAGAGCAATATAGGAGAACTAGGTTTGTTAAGGCAAAAATTAAGCTCCCCTTCTACCTCTGTCTTCACACACAAACACACATATATAAATATTAGATATCAGCATGCACATATAATTATAAAATTGATGTGATTTGCATTTATGTGTGGTTTATTAAAATCTATAGTCATATTTGGTATATAGGTAGTAAAATATATGACCTTATGTTTGTGTGTTTTGTATTTGTGTAACAGAATTTTTCCTTTTGAGCCAAAAAACATGAAATTGTATGAGAAGTGAGTCTTGAGGAAGTCCTTGACCTTTCAGATCTGCTCTCACCTGCATTGTGTCTCATTTTTTGTTTGTTTTACCAAAATTTGATTGATTACTTAATTTGTTTGTCAGTTTAAGGCCAACAGTATTCCTGAAATCAGGGTTTTCTGTTTTGCACTATTGCATGGGATATTGATGTCAGGCAAAATTGTAATTTAATTGTTTTGACATTTTGATCTGAGCAGTTCATATAAGAAAGGTGATTTATCTTGCATAGAAACCTCATATTTTGAGCTCAGCACGAGTTTTCCCTAACTGCTTATTTATAAATGTGGTTTCTAAAAAATTAGACTTTCATCATATTGGGAATTTGTGCTCTGGGTATTAATTACCAAAGTACAAGTTGATTGGAATATACTAGAGATATTTTATTTTTTAGATGGTCAGTCATGAAAAACTTTAGAAATGCTGTGAAACCATTGAAACAGAAAGTGAAAATTTCGTACTTTTATGTTCATTGTATATAATATCACATTTGAATTTTTAAAGCAGTACAAATGGCTTTTTGCTTTTTTACAATCTTGGAATATAAAATTACTCATGAACTTCTTTAGTTTTAGGATTTTATCTATGATATTGGTGAATCCTTATACTTTGCATAGTCCGTGTTTTTGTGCTATCATTGTTGATAAAGTAACTTCAAATAATGCATCCTTAAGTGTATTTTGGTCCCCTTATCTTTTTAAAC